AGATGCTAATCCTTTGGGCGAAGAAGAGAAGGTCTTTAAACTCCCAAAGAGAAGTGAAAGAACAGACAGAGGAGGTATTTTAATGTATTTTAATTTCTGAAGAGGTAATTATTGTTATTACGATACAGCACAATGACAACAAGAAAAGGATGAAGGGAGCAGTGAAAGTAAACTTTGGCGCTTTATGCATGAACCCATTAATGCTGAAATCTGCATGTCACCTGTATGACATTGTGAGGTGACATTTTATCTGAGCTGCTGGACAGAATCAGTAATTAGAGAGACAGTTATGGATTGGTTTATGGATTAAATCTCTGGAAGCAGTCATGTCTTTTGTAGTATCAGTGCAACCTGTCGACAAGCAAGTCACTAAAGTACCACCCGCTCACTCAACATCAGCTTTATGCCTGTATATGTTATGTAATATACTATTATTTACATGGAGGTGTGAGCACAATAAAAGTATCACAAACCACGATTCCAGCAATAACACTTGGAAACAGCAACAGGTTCTCGTCACAAGGTCCATTTAGTAGCTGTTTTGGAGCTTTTAATCACATGACACACGAGTTCGTCAGCATTGTCATGGAATTGTATAATCAGACATCATCAATTCTGGTCCCTTAACAAAATTAATTGATTTTAAGATTTGTATAGAGAGAAATAGAATGTACAAAACTGGGAAAAGAAGATCATGTGATATGAACCGCTGCTAAATAGAATACTGAAATAGTTTTCTTGACTCTGAATTATTTCGTGGTGTTGATGTAATGAATACTCCCATATCATAAGAACTATCTTATAATCCTATAAGGTTTTATATTCATATTATTAACATTGAAAGTATGAGTTTAAAATGTATAATATTCATAATTACACCCCAAAGAAGTACTCAGAGATAACCAGTCTTAATAACAAGGTACTGTGTGTCCTGCTCTGTTTGTTACGAAACTGTGAGTTTCATATCCTTGCTGGAGAACAAAACTTGAGCTCTGAAGATGAGCTACATCCATTGTTTTCAGCTGTGGCACAGCATGTTCTCAGCTCAAATGATACTCTTGTTTCTCGGAGCACAACAGACCTGAAAGCAAGGCTTGTCTGTTTCTCTTGACTGCCAATACATATTTAAAGCGATCACGGACCACTCAGGAAATCAGCACAGGGAGCAGGAATGATAAGGACTGTGGGGTTGATTTTATACGGTCACTCACAAATTTGAAAGAAGCACTTATATATATCTAACACTATTGGTGTGTCTTTCTCTCTCTCTCTCTCTCTCTCTCTCTCTCTCTCTCTCTCTCTCTCTTACACACACATTCTTTTTCTCACACTTTCCCTCCTGATGTGGCTCCTTTACCTCTGAAAGACAAGAAGTCAAATATGGTGGATTACAGCTGTGTCTGTGCGTCATAGCTAAATGCCAGCAGCCTCTTGAGAGGTGTTTTTTTCTGTAGGGTATTACCACTAGTCTTACCTTCAGACCATATGCTAACCCCAGGGGTTGAACTGGAACGCAGACAGCTTGAATAATGAATTGTGGATGACATTTTGTCCAGTAAAATCAGCTGGAACAAAGAGGCTCAATGTGGTCACAAGAGACAATAGTGAGTCTGCAAGAGCAGTTCACAGTTAATTGCAGTTAATCCACACATATTCATGCTCCCTTCAGGATGTTGGTAATACCTTTCTAATCCGTTGACTTTTCATACAGCGCCATTTTCAGGTCAAGATGACCAATTACCATAGACTGTTGACATCAGCCCCAATTATAGCCTACTTTATGTGTAGTGCTATTTAGCAACCGGCAGCATGCTAAGTTAACACACCAAATTAAGATGGTGAATATGATAAACATTATACCGGCTATAAGCATGCCAGCATCGTGACATTAGCATTTAGCTCTGAAGTAACAGAGTAGGTAGCATTGCTGTAGAATATAGAATATTATAATTTAATTTATTAATTGTTTGTCCAGAAAATTCTGATTGTACATCATGGCCAAGTATCAATGTAATTAGAGTGCAAGCTTTAACATTATAATGCAGCTATTAGTGAATGCTACAAGCCCCAGGTGTAGTCTACTTTGCGTAAAGTGCTAATCAGCAAATATTAGCATGCTGAGCTAACACGCCAAATCAAGACGTTGAAGATGGTATACATTATACCTGCTATAAGCATGTCAGCATAGTGACACTAGCATTTAGTGCACAAATTATAGCCAAATAGAGCAACTTGATATACATGTGAGTCTTACAATTACAGTCAATTCTGTGATTGCACAAAGTGGCTAATTATCAATGTTATGGGATGCAAAGCTAAATCTATTAGTAAATGCTACAGCAGCACTTTTAGGGAGCAGTCTGAGTCTGTGCTACCAAGTTGGGGAAAAAGTGATGTCGGCCACCTTAACTTTCAAAAGAACTGGTTGTCTGTTTAACTCACTTTAAACACCTTGTAATCAGTTTACTAAATGAGTCAATTCACTGTTAATTATTGCAAGGCTGCCTGCGAATCCGGTGAATAGCCTAATGTCCAAAAGGACCCTGTATGTACACAAGACAAACAATCTGGACCCCTTTATCAACCCTGATAGTCTCCATGGCAACAGTGGCAACATCCAGGCTGTTCATGAGGACGATCAGGGACAAGGAGTTTCAGCATTCATTCCAGTACCTTTCTAAAGTTACTCAAAACCAACGCAGTGCTATTAACTCAACAATATGTAACCCTTTCCCTTACATCCCGGGTACCAACATGCTTTTTTTCCAGGAGGTATGAATGGATCTCAGATAAGAGCTCTTTTCAATCATATTATTGATAGTGCACCGGAAGAAGCAGGCACATTAAAAGCATTATGCATGACATCCAAACATGTGGATATTAAAAAAAGACTGAACAAAAAAGTCTCTTAAATGGAGCCTTGCAGGAGTAATGTGTGTTCCCACCAAATGTTATACGGAATAATAATACAAAGAAGTACGACACAATTATAGTGAATTTCTTGCAAGCAGAGGTTATGAAATGACTTGTTCGGGAATATTGTACCACATCTTGTTGTCTGCATGACCTTACTTTGTCTTTGCTCAGGTTAGTGCTGTTGCCAGGATACTATTTCCTATGGCAACTCTTGAGCCTGCGAGGTGAGCAGCTCTGAAAGGATCCAATTAACTGGCTGCTCTGTATCCAGTGGACCGGAAGTCCATACATGACCAAAGAAGAACATGCACAAACGTGCACGGCCACACACAAAAAAAAGTCCCTTCAAAGTTCAGTTGGCCTTCGTGTGTTAGCTGATATTTTCTCCCAGACACGACAAATTGACTTTGGGTTCTATTCAAGAAGAATTAATTGTATACTCAGGTGTAATTTTACATTAAAATGTATTCAAATGGGAATAATATAAGTGTCAATCAGTTTAGGATCAAGGATGCAGCCCTCGTTATTCGTATTTTCCTTTTTGAAAGATGTATCTGTAATTTTGGTTTCTAATGCAGCAACCTCTGTTATTTTGGATATACATATATATTCAATGTTCTATGTGGAACTCAACTTTTACCCTCATTTGAAACAAAATGAGTGCAGCACATCCATTACAAGTGAAGAGGGAATTGTCATACATGAACACTATATGAAGCTTATCACATATTCTCTGCAAAAGCGGATGGTCTCCCTCTGTACGAGAGTATACTGCCACCATTTGTTGCAAGGGTGTTACTACCTCTCTTGTGCAGTTTTCTCTTACTGATGTGCAAAATGTAAGGTGATGTCCAAAATGTATCTTTAAGTGTTCAAATCTAACCTGGAAAAGCAAGTGTTTTTTCATTGACCCTGTCCTTACTCTTTTGTGCACCTGCATATTATTTAAGGCTGTTGCATGGCAGAACACAGTTGCTCAACAAGTATATGCTTCTCTTTTCACTGGAGCTACCGGATCATCATGATCATTGCCGAATTCAAACAGCTTGACAGGATGCAACACGTCATCACAAAAGCACCCCTCCTACATTTGCTCATTGACCATCAACTCTGAAGGATTCAGACGATGAAAGGGGGGTGTCAGGCACCAAAGGTGAGCTCGTACGACACTGTGCTGGGCTGTGCATTGTCTAGCAGGGAGGACTCTTTTTCAATGGGACTCCATTATGACTCATCTGTACTAAACACCCACTGACCTCTCTTTACTGTGCAAAGCTTCTCTTTGTGCTGCTGATTGTGCCTCATCCAGCACTCCACAGATGAGCACCGGGTCTTATCCTTTTAAGTAATAAGCCCACAACACAACGATGTCACAGGTCTGCAGACAGAATACTGTATATGAGCATGAAATTAATTAGATAGGTCTGTGCAGCTTTTTGTGTATGTATTATGTGTTATGTATTGTTAGAAAGCTTAGGTAATGGTCTGTATAAGACGGGCTTTTAAATCAGTGAAAGCCTATGGGCGTGTGCTTGTTTTCCTACTGTTTGCATGGCGCCACACTTATCTGTCTTGGACTTGAGACCTGGTTTGAAGATCTGTTCATGCTGCTAGGTTTTTAAACGAGATTCATTGGTTGAAAAGGTGAATTGCTTGTGATAGCCAGAGAGCATTTAAGTCAGTACAGAGCAGGTCAGTTGAACATGTAAAAATATGATTTTTATTCTTTGGGTAAATCATTCTAAATAATACATTTTCCAACAATAAATGAGTATGGACATTTTACTTAAGTATGAATGTTGTATTTCAAAGAAAATAAAATCTATTTACTGGCATGTGACAATATAACAAAGATCATTTACAAATATAATTGTGTCTAATCTGCATGAGCGTGAGGTTTAATATATTACATTTAACTAGTTGGCAGTTTATTGCTTGTTGGCAAGTGCTGCTGCATGATCCCAGCTGCAAATTTCAAGTGTAGCCTACACTGTATATCTTTGTGCAGAGCCCACTGCACAAAACTCCTGCTGTTCTCACCCCTCGCCGCCTGGCGGCAGCAACAGGCGGGCGGATTCTTCATCTATACATCCATGCTTTCCACACCCACAGGAGACGTCTATTTAACATTTCCGCATTTCCAGCTCGGACAGAAGAAACACCAAAGTGGTCTCTGCCCTGCTGCAGCTGCGAATAATAATATCAGCACAATGTCAAGGTTTCTTCTTGGAACAAACATAAGGAGATGCGTCGCCTCTCAGATTAGAATGGCGTCTGATCAGGTAACACAACGTTCAAATGTGGTGAACTGGTGTCAGATGACTTCTTGAATGTTAGCATTAGCTTGCTAATATCAGTAAAGTTGTTGGTGTGGGACGAAATTAGCCCGGAGAGCTAGTTGTTGACGTGAGCTGTCAGGGATCGACGGGGTCATTGATGACTTGTCTGCGTATGCACGTCGGGACTGCGGCATGTTGCATTGAATGCAATGTAGCGTTAGAAACGTTGTTAATCATTATTCTCAACAAAAAAAAAGAAAGCTTCTGTGTTACTGGTAACTGGTAAATTATGAAAAATCCCCGTCACGGTCTGCTGGCTGTATACATACACAGTCCTATCTGAATGAGGAGCAAACAAAGTGTCTCGCGCCGACCAATGAATAGGTTAACTATCGGTTACAGGTTTGTAACCTTCAGCACAGGCACACGCAATGAATTAATAAGACATTAAATAAGAGCGATGGAGTTGTTTTCTGTGCTGTTGCAGAGATTGTTTAATTGCATAATAAAGAGTCTAAGTTTAGGAAAACTTTTCATTTGTAAGATATATTTCCTTAACAGATAAAGAAGTTCAAAGACTGTCATTAAATTGTTTTATTGTCAGTATGAGCCGATAGAAACAATACCATGCATCCAGATAAATTAATGACTTTACTGAAGCAACTAACAAAGAGACACAACCTTTTTACAACAATAAATGCATTGACTGTTTTAGGTTTACTCAATGAGCGAACAGGAGAAATACCTTTTTTATATGTTCTAATTTGTTAAATATGTTTGGTAAATGGACTGTATTTATGTGACAGCTTTCCACCTTATTGCTTTACACTTTGCCTCTCATTCACCTGTTCAAACACACATTCATACACTGATGGTGGCAGGCGGTGACTTGTATGTGAAATGTGAGGATTCATTCTGCTTATTCCAGCTTGGCGAATTGGGCAAGGGCGCAGGCAAAGGTGGAGGCGGAGGAGGCGCTGTGAGGGCGGCAGGCGGTGCATTTGGAAAGCGAGAAGTGGCAGAGGAGGAGCGGTACTTCAGGTAAGTAACAGGGGTGCACCGTCAGGAGAGGCTAACCAGGTAAAGGTTTGGGGCCCCCCAAAAAAAGGGTTCCCCGATGGCCACTCATTGGCATGTTTTGTAATGACAACTATAAACCCCCTTAAACCTCCCATAAAGGCTCTATACAGTGCACCAGCGCCCCCCCCCCCCCTCCTCCCCCACCAAAAAAAAATGAGGCTACTGTACAGTGTATGACAGCTTGTTACCTTTAGCTACTTGTAACTGTCATACATACAACTTTATCATACACATACACGGATGTTGCTCAGCAGGTAGAGCAGGTCGTTTACTAATCAATCCCTGTCTCCACCAGTCCCCATGTTGAAGTGTCCTTGGGCAAGACACTGCACCTTAAATTGCTCCAAGCGTTGTTCTGCACCATCGGTGTTTTAATGATGAGATTAAAATCTGATGTGTAGGTGGCACCTTGTATGACATCCTCGGCTGTGTGAATGAAGTGGCCAGAAGACTAGAAAAGTGCTCAATAATGCAACTTAATTTACCATTTAAAAACACCCGGCCTCGATGGAGCCCCCCAGAGTCTAAAATTGCCACTGGTGAAAAGCATGCCATTATATTAGTAGTAAGCTGGTAACCACAGGTTCCACATGTTTTGAACCCAGTTTTTCATCACTGTGTTTCCACCTGCAGGCAGAAGGAGAGGGAGCAGATGGAGGCGCTGAGGAAGCATCATGTGGAGGAGATTGAGCACCACAAAAAAGAGATTGAGCGCCTACAAAAGGAGATTGACCGTCACGAGGGCAAAATCAGAAAGCTGAAACATGATGACTAAAGCTGGGAAGCCTGTTGTAATTTCTCCTTCCGACCATCCGATTGCCAAGTCAATCATAATCCAATATTGATTTATTTACTGCTTGTCAAGGCAGGTCCTGTATGACACTTCATACTGACATCATGAATATCAATAAACCAATAAAGCCCTTAATTTTTGATATTTCATGAAGACTTTTGAACATGTCTGTGCATCTTTGTATAACTCTTGATTATCGTCAAATGTCAGTTGTGTATTGGGGTTTGAGTAGCTCTAGCTGTTAGAATAATTAGGCTGGACCTGTACATAGACTGCATATATGTAGTTGATGAGGCGCTCGCTTTGAATCACCGCGCTTCCCGCTCATGTTGAATGTGGCAGCCACCTAGCTGGGATGCATCTTTAAAGTAAGCGTATGTCTCATACATTTTGTAAGATGTGTTTGTGTAGCCGTTAAGATTGTGATTGTATTTGTATTGGGATCAGCTACGTGCTCAACATAAAGCCACATGAGTCAGACTCGAGCACTGTGTAAACAATGAGTCAAAACGAACACACCCGCCCCTCAGCGCGGTATTGTTCACATCTCGCGATGTTTGCTAAGGGGTTGCGTTGTTCGGGCGAGCCGACGACGAGACCATAGCTGTCTGGAAATTTGTCTCGTGGTTTAGACCAAAACGTATTATTCATATAGGACAATTTTTTGTACGCGCGACAAGATAATCGTTCCACATTTTAACACACGCCACTGTTAGTGTCCCGAATTAGACCGGTGAGTTTTGCTAACTATCTGTTTGCACCTTATACGGAGCGTGTGTTTGTGTGTGTGTGTGTGTGTGTGTGTGTGTGCATGAAAGCTGTCTCTGCCCGATGAGGCCTAAAGTATGAGCAGCTAGCCTGCTAACCACTGTTATTGTTAGCTCAACATAACACATGCTTGAGAGCAATTTTGCTCTGAAATTTGTTTTTCTTTTAAATGCATTTGACTTTTGAAAGCTGCGCTCGCCATGTAAGACCCTGTGCATGTAGATGTGGAGATAAATGTGTCCTCGTTAGCTAGCTGCATGTGAGGGGGGCGGGACGGTAACGTTAGCTGTTGGCGCTTTCTTTAAGTGCCCGTGGTGTGTTACCGCGCGATAGCTGTTATCACATCAATCTATCAGGAACTGTGTTTTTAACTAATACTAATACTATTACTGCTAGACAGGTGTTACGGATTTTAGAAATGCCCTCTATTGTTATTTATTGACAGTAACAATGCTTGTAACGTTATATGGGCCATCAAATAAACATCACATCCATGCGTTTGAAAACAATTCGCTTTATAGCCGTTGTATAAAGATTCATTTAAACACATTTATTTTAGGATAATGACAATGAAAATGCCAGTATTTGTTGATCTGTCCTTATCAAGAATAATACATTAATTTGTTCAACGTTTACTAAATACATTGTATTTCTTCGTTGCTGTATTACAGGACGATGGATGCTGCGGAGGTGAACGGTGGCTCTGCTCCTCCTAAGGAAGAAGAGGAGCCCATGGATGTGACTACAACACACACGGAGAACTACCAGACGCTCGTTGACGCTGGGCTGCCCCAGAAAGTAGCCGAAAGTCTAGATAACATCTTCCAGACAGGTGGGTGATAGTTGTTGTGATTTAAAGAGCTGTGAGATGTCACTTCTGTAGCTGAGCCTGGTGGTGAACATGCTTTGTAATTGTAGGCTTGGTGGAGTATGTTGACCTAGATGAAAGGGCCATTGATGCACTGCGTGAATTCAATGAGGAGGGAGCGCTTACTGTGCTGCAACAATTCAAAGAGAGCGACCTGTCCCACGTACAGGTAAAGAGAAAAGAAAGAAAGAAACCCTTTTTATTGTCATATACATATACATATACACATACACGAAATTTGACTTCTGCATTTGACCCATCCCTGTATATAGGGAGCAGTGGGCTGCCAATGACAGGTGCCCGGGGAGCCGGGGGTTCAGTGTCTTGCTCAGGGACCTGTGTGATCCATGTGGTTACCTCAGGTAACCACATGGATCAATGGCATCTATTTTGGGATTTGATTGGATTTGTATGTCTGTGTGCACTATAAGTAACCTCATTTGTTTGTTTTTTTTAAATGTAGAATAAAAGTGCTTTCCTTTGTGGAGTGATGAAGACTTACAGACAGAGAGAAAAACAAGGAAGTAAAGTGCAAGAGTCCACCAAGGGCCCAGATGAAGCAAAAATAAAGGTAAACAAAGTCATGTGACTGAGCTTTGTTGTGCACGAATGTCATATAAGCATGCCTCTGCAGCCATGCAACCCAGTTAATGTTTTGTGTGTTTGTGTTTTTCAGGCTCTGTTGGAGCGGACTGGATATACCCTGGATGTCACCACAGGGCAGAGAAAATATGGAGGTCCCCCACCTGAGGAGGTGTTCAAAGGAATACAACCAGGGATTGGAACTGAGGTAAAAAATAAATAAATATATATATATATGTGTGTGTGTATATATATATATATGTCTGTGCTGCAGTAACATTCAGAGTCCTGCAGAACATGCTGCATGTTGGACTTAACAAATCCTTACACTTGTTCACCTGTTTCTCTCTTCTTCATCAGGTGTTTGTCGGAAAAATCCCGAGGGATTTGTATGAAGATGAGCTGGTGCCGCTCTTTGAGTCTGCTGGTCCCATCTGGGACCTCAGGCTAATGATGGACCCTCTCTCTGGTCAGAATAGAGGCTATGCCTTCATTACCTACTGCAATAAGGATGATGCACAAAAGGCTGTAAAGCTTGTAAGTAGAATAGCACGACTTTGGAAGAAGCATCTCAAACCATATAACAACAGAGTTAGTTTTAAAGGACTACTCTAGACATTGAAATGAGTCTGACTTGATCTCTGGAGTGTAACTTTAAAAACAAGAATAATTCAAGCTTCAAATTGCTTTATGCTTTACTGTACTGTTTGTGTACAATGAATTTCACAGTTTTTGGCCTCCCCGTTTTATTTTCAGTGTGATAACCATGAAATCCGCCCTGGCAAGTACTTGGGAGTGTGTATATCTGTTGCAAACAATCGCCTGTTTGTTGGATCAATTCCAAAGAACAAGACAAGGGAAAGCATATTGGAAGACTTTGGAAAAGTTACAGGTCAGTTTCAAAAGAGACAAATTTGTCTCAGAAACCCATTTAAACAAATCCTCAGTCATTAACGATGATAGACACGACAACTGTTTTGGAAGTTGGAGATGATATTGTTGTGTTGCACAGAGGGTCTCCAAGAGGTGATATTGTACCACCAGCCAGATGACAAGAAGAAAAACCGTGGCTTCTGTTTCCTGGAGTACGAGGATCACAAGTCCGCAGCGCAGGCTCGCCGCCGCCTAATGAGTGGCAAGGTCAAGGTGTGGGGGAACCCCGTCACTGTAGAGTGGGCCGACCCTGTGGCTGAGCCAGACCCGGACGTGATGGCCAAGGTTCGTCTTATGTCTTCCTCTTTAAAGAAGCTGTATTTAACATTCTAAACGCTAATGTAGCCGCAAACAACTATTTATGGTGAGATATGGTGGAGTTATGTCTAACTGAGCAGAGAATGAGGTTGTTCTCTCTCTATGTGTGTGTTGTTATTCGAGCTTTCCTTACTGTGTTGACGGGCCGTGCGTGCATGTTGGTGCACATCTGTGACAGTTAGTGACTGTTGGTGCATGTGAGCATGCCCCAGTGGGTCAGGGTAACAAACATTTTGGGTTTTTTTTTTGTCTTATAGGTCAAGGTGCTCTTCGTAAGGAAACTGGCCACAGCAGTGACTGAAGAGCTCCTTGAAAAAACCTTCTCTCAGTTTGGAAAGCTGGAGCGAGTGAAGAAATTGAAAGACTACGCTTTTGTCCATTTCGAAGAAAGGGATGCTGCCGTAAAGGTAAGTGTGTTCATGCTTTGGACGAGATATTTTGCATGTCTGTTGATTGTTATGTACGCTACAGTTATGGATTGTTTTATTTGTCCAGGCAATGGATGAGATGAATGGGAAGGAGCTAGGGGGAGAGGAAATTGAGATAGTCTTGGCAAAGCCCCCAGACAAGAAGAGGAAAGAGCGGCAAGCAGCTCGGCAGACCACCAGGAATTCGGGGTGAGGGAGACGTGTGACTCGTCTACTGCCCGACTTCTTCTCTCATAAGGAACGCAATAAATGTAACTCTATCCTCTCCTCTGCAGGTATGACGACTACTACTACTACCCACCTCCACGCATGCCGCCACCTGGCCGAGGCAGGGGTCGTGGCGGCCGAGGGGGCTATGCCTATCCTCCAGATTACTATGGATACGATGACTACTATGATGACTACTATGGCTATGACTATCACGACTACCGTGGTGGCTATGAAGACCCGTACTATGGCTACGAAGATGTGTACAGCATGAGGGGCCGTGGTACTCGTCCCAGCAGGGGCGGGCCTCCTCCGCCTAGAGCTCGTGGGGGAGCACCCCCGGCACGAGGTCGTGGGGGCTACGCCCAAAGAGGGCCCCCCCCCTGGTGGACCAAGGGGCGGCCGAGGAGGGCGCGGATCCCCTTTCCAGCCGCAGAGGGGTCGCGGTCCTCGCGGGGCCAGGGGCAACCGTGGCGGTAACGTCGGCGGAAAGAGGAAGGCAGACGTGTTTAACCAGCCTGACTCCAAGCGCCGCCAGACCAACAACCAACAGAACTGGGGGTCCCAGCCCATCGCCCAGCAGCCCCTGCAGCAAGGGGCCGACTACTCTGGTAACTATGGTTACAGTAATGACACCATGGAGTTTTCACAGGATTCTTATGGGCAGCAGTGGAAGTAGATGCACCCAAAGGTATTTGGCAAAGTGACAACAAAAAAAAAAAAAGAGTAAAAAAAAAAAAAAAAAAGATTGGCCACAATTTTTTGATTGACTTTTTATTCTTCACCCCTCATGAAAAAAAAGTCTGTATATATGTCAGAAAAAACGGACAGACCCCAGAATTGGCTCGAGGTGATTGGCTGGAAAGCCTTTTGGCTGAAGAAGGGAACGTAACCGTTGTGGTGAATCATTTCTTACTCCTACGGTTAAAGACATGTCTTTAAAAAAAAAAAAAAAAAAAAACACACACAAAACACTTTTATTGTTACGTTTTGTTCCTGATTCTTTTAAAGCCAACAATGGACATTTACAAAAAAAAAAAAGTGGACATTCGTTCTCAAAAGTCTGAGAGGACATTAAATAGTGATATTGCCTAGCAGGAAGTTTTTGCCCCGTGCCCCTTTCCTCCTTCCCCTTCTTGTACTCCCTTTATTTGTGGTTTCTCATAGTTGCTTAGGGACTTGCTTGTAAATAAATGCATATGGTTAGAGCTTCATACTTCATTTTTTGCAATGGTGGAGAAAAGAATCCACAGGAAGGAAGAAATCAAAGTTTTGTAATGTTCAAAGTGTATGCCTAGCATTTCTAGAGATAGACAAATTGTGTTTTTTTTAAACTGATACCATAACTTCCTATGTTTTCTTTGAACTTGCCCAATAGCATTTGGTTTGGCTTACCTTAAGAGCCATAGCAGTTTGTTCTGATGTTCTTTGTATTTATAACTTTTACGTTTGTTCCGTTTCAATAAAACTAAGCTGAGCATCAGTCAATTGTCAGATACTCAAATTCAGTGTTGTCATTCGCTATTTGATTATCAATTCCCGTATCTGGACGAAGATCTTCTTTTCCAAGTCAAATTCTCAACGGATAATTACAAAAGACTGAAATTGCACAAGAGAATTTGAAAGGTGTTTGGATGAACACAGGATTTTAACCCTTTAATTTCCAGTGCATGTTACATCAGACTACTGTCATTTCCTGCACTCAGAATTTAAATTGTGAATATTAAAGAAATTCAAACAACTGTTAAAGGACCAAACTTTTGGCAATTTTGGCTTTTAATTACTCAAGATTGTACCTGTCTTTTAAAATCTGTGTGCACAGGTAAACAGTGTATGCTTTAGTAAATGTTAGCTCACCCTCACTAAATGCGGTTCTCCACCGTTCATGAAGAAACGGAAAACACCGAGTGCTCCCTATGGGTGATTTATTTTTGTTAAATTTGAGAATGCTTCAAGAAGAGAAGTAACTGAGTAGAAGAAACCATGGATTCTTTCCACAGGTGTGAAGTCGCTGTGCCTTGTTTGTTGTTTTACACCTTTTTAACCTGAATGGTGTTTATTAAGGCAGACGTTTACTGAAGCATATACTATGTTCACCTGTTGACACAAACTTTACAGGCATGGACAGTCCTGTATAATGGTGAGATGTCACTTGCACTGGTATGGTCCTGATACGGACACCCTAACAGTTACAACACATTTGACTTTGAATGGATTTGTACTTGTGTGCCGAGTTGTTTCCAATTCATTTTTTTTAATTTCTAAAAACAAATCTGCACATCCTCTCAACCATCTGCTCTCCTTTTTCGAGGACACCAAGGATCTGACCATCCAAAGGGGTTAAAATTTAAAAAACGTGCCTTCTGCCACAGCAAGCGACCACCTGTCAGAATGTGTTTACTGTAAATAGTGTTTTTGTCATTTGGTACCATGGTATCATTGTATTTTGTTTCATGTGTCTGTCCTCTTATTCCAACCTGCCTAGGTGGAGAAGCAATGAGAGCGGCACCGCTAGAATGAGGAACTCACCTGAACGGTGCTCGAGGGTGAGCTAGCCTTGCACAGAGTACTGTCTCCTCTCCTGTAGCTACTTGTAATCACTCGAGAAACACTAGCCATAATTATACTTTGTTCTTTTTATTGTTTCCTTCCTAATTTACTGCACTGCGAATCAAGCTTAGTAGTGGGATCTTCTTTTTTCAGGATACGAAGAACACGGGTCACTAAAGTTCACCCGAGAATCATTGGAAATGTTCAAATTAATTGTGTTCCCAGCATGTGTCTGCTGCATATGTGTCCCTGTAAGCCAATTGAAAAGTCAAACATTAATTTAGAGCCAAATGGCCGTTCCTTTAGACAGCATTAAGCAGCCAGAAGGCATACAAGCCAAGGATTTGGTAAGCGCTATAAACCCCAAAACCCTGCAAACATCTGTTGCCTGTCTTTGCTCACTGCACCAAAACCACACCTCAGCTGTCTGCACACATTCTGTGAATGGAGGGTGGTGGTGGTGGTGGTGGTGGTGGTGGTGGTGGGCATTTCCCCTCCAATGCCGCTAGAGGTACCAATTCCACACCGAGCACGACTAGAGATCCATTGTTCCTTTATCCGACGCTGCTTTTATTGGATATTTTCTGAGCTGGAACGGTGTAAATTAATACACATATATTAAGTAGAGGAGCTGTTGTTGACATTGATTTAAATAGTAGTTGGGATACTAAATGAAAAGCGGATCAAATTGGCTGACGTTGGAACAATGGCTGTGCATCAAAAGAGATGTCTGTACCCCTGAACGCCACACGATGGCAGTAGTAGTGCTACAGTGTTCATATTGCACAGGTAAGACTGAAACAGGGAGCACAGCGTTGCATCAGAAAGCTTATTGTATCGCACATTTTGGTTTGTACTGAAGTGCCATCAAATGCTGGAGTTTCCTTTACAGTTTCTCACTTCAGAACTGTGTCTTTTATATGTTGCCTCTTGTCACTAGGCAGTAAAGGAGCTGCCCCCATCCATGTCAATGAGTTCACACAAATGGAAGGGACTGATTGGTAAGATTGTTCATTATCTGTACTAATGCTCAGAAGGTCTCAACATGTTTCTACTTGTACTTTTTGATATGATTTAGAATGTTACCACCTCTTTGCTTCGCAGAGCCAATTCCTTCTGTTCTGCATCGAGTCACAAGTCTGGCTCCTTCTTTTTTTCAGTTACAGAAAAAAAAACGTCATGTTGAAGACGATACAGTCTGTCTCTCTGGTCATGTTGATGCTTGGAAGCTGTTTGACCCAAGATTTGTCAACATGTCTGTGTGGCCCTTTTCTAGCTCCGAGTCAGGAGACCGTCCTCAACGAGCTGCGAGCCAGCGTCGTCACAGGGTCCACACTTACTGGACTGTACACTTGAGGTCCGGTACTCATGGGAACACCAACTGGCTACCCTGTTCCCAGCTCAGCAGACTGCACAGGTGAGGAATCATTTTTGGATTAGTAGAACTACGTATGTGTAGGAGAAACTTCCCAAGTCTCAATCAATGTAAACGTAAAACCTTTTTTTGATTTGATTTTTCAACAAAAGTTGTAACAACCATAACTGGGATTCATAAGAGGTGTGAAGAGTAGTGCATTAGTCTTGAAATGCCTTTATTCTAACGGTTAATGTCTTTCCACTTACTCCAGAAGCGTAGGAGGATACAGTTGATGGACATGTCATAATCAAGAGCTCCATCCAGCAGACTGCTCCTTCCTTATCCAGTTTAAATCAGTGTTCATGTAAAGGTAAATGATCTGTTGCTCCTGATTGTTCAATACATGTTATTACTCAAGTAAAAATGTGTTTGTGTATGTATGTTTATTTTATTATTATATTCACATGGACCTAGTGATTGGTAATTTAAAAACTACAGCATTGGCACAACTTCTACTAGTCTTCAAAATGCAACGTCTTGGAGTTCATTATGAAGTTCAGTAGTGCTTCCTATAGTAAATGATGAACATGTTTCTCACCAGTCAAACAGATGGAGATGTGGGTGGGCATGTAAACCTAATGGTCAGTGGTCTACCTGTACCGATCCTGTTCACTGTGCTTGTCCCCTCCTGCATAATCATGGTTTATTTAAAGCTGTATAACAGTGTTAGGGCTGTCTCAAAGATTGCAAGCCTTAAAATTCGGATTCAATTTTCAAAAAATGCAGTAGTAAATTTATGCCAGAGAAAACACAATGCAAGCCTCGCAAACTGTAATGTTTAAGTTGATAACACACTTATTATCCTGCATTTTTCTCCATTTAACACCATGAAACGAAAATAACGAGCCATTCTAACGCAACCTTCCGTTTATCCCAGTTCAAACCGAGAGTTAAATATTTTCGAGTAACGATAACGTTAAACGCATTCATAAAGATGGTCTTCTGTGTAGTAGAGCGTGCACTGTTAGACGATTAGCATTAAGGAGACCGCATGGTCACGTGATGCTACAACGTCACATGTAGATCAGGGGGGGAAGATGGCGGCCGCCGGAGGAGAACCTTCTACCGAAAATGTGTCGGATGAATTGTTTCAAAACTTTTACACGGAGGTACGATACATCTTATGTGAGTTTATGTGTTTTTAAAGTGCCGCTCGCTCTCCGTGCATCAACTGAAGTTACGCAACAGCTCTCGCGCTGAGCACCAAGAGGCCTCACAGACATTACCTTCAGCTAACGATAAGGAGCTAACGTTTACCCAGAGATGTTTTGTGAACAGACACGTCTTTCTGGGGTTATAAGGACACCGCCAAAGCTCGTCTATGTCTTTTAGTTTCCTTTTCTCAACCCCCACAAGTCACTTAACTTAAAATGCGTCTCGAGGCAGATGATTTCAGCCCTCTGTCTAACGTTAGCCGGGTCGAGTGTCTGGCGTTACGCTTTGGCTAGTCACAGTTTCATAGATATCAAATGAATGAGGTCTGACTCCCAGAAAAGATGCAGAGCAGCCTGCTGTTTGATCAGATGTCACTCCTGAATGCTGGCTTAACTAGTGCATCATCGGGATAAAGTGCTATTAGCAGCAGCACCAGTAAGTGCAGCTTCAGGTGGACTTTGCATTTTGACTTTGGCTGTATTTTGGAAGTTGTCATTGTCTTTAACAGGTGAAGCAGATCGAGAAGAGAGACTCCGTGTTAACCTCCAAGCAGCAGATTGAACGACTGCTCAGACCTGGAGCATCCTACTTCAACCTCAATCCTTTTGAGGTAAGTGTGCCACCAATAAAGTAGTTTTTGTTATTATTTTGTAAGTTTGCCGGTTAGATGCCGATCACAAAGTTACTAGACCCAAAGGTAACAATAGGCGAATCACCTCAAGTACTGATTTATGACATCAAATGTGAGGAAAACAAGCATCATGTCTATATAATAATAATAATCCTTAATTAATCTTTATTTAATAAACGACTGTCGATGCAGTAAAATTATATTGATTGAAATTAAATCATTGACTTAATCGGTCAAAAATCTTTATTTTTGTTGTTACTTACATGATGTTGCAACCATGTATATTTCCCAAAACGGTCTCAGAGAAATAAATACCTCACGTGTTGATCTTTTGGATGGATTTGGTTTACAATAAGCTGCCAAACATGCTGTTGTCGAGCCCTCATGAAAGTACGAGCCCTTATTGCTCTCATAACTATTTTGATTCCAGCATAATCATTATTGGATTCTCTCTTTGGATAATATACCTTTTGTTGAATAAACGTAACAATGTTCACAACATTTCCAGGTGCTGCAAATTGATCCTGAGGCAACAGATGATGAATTGAAGAAAAGATTTCGGGCGGTGAGCGAAAAAAAAACCCGAAACATTTTATCATTCTCCTCTGTGAAGCTTGCCTGCTGATTTGGTGATGGTGCCATAATGTTATTTTGTTTCCTAATTCCTAATATTTGGTCTCCTTTAACTCTGCAGTTGTCCATTTTGGTCCATCCAGACAAAAATCAGGATGATCAACTCAGAGCACAGAAATCCTTTGAAGGTACATCCCTGACTACATTTATGTTGTTGATATACATCTGCTGTCTTTAAACCGAGGAACTTGTTTCATGTTGCCCAATGTTAATCAACACTGTAAGATAGCACATCCAGCTCCTTCCTTTGCTGCCAGTAGATGGAAAAATGAACTTTAATTTCCCCTGAATGTCTCTCTGTTGTAGCTGTGGACAAAGCATACAAACTCCTCCTGGAACCAGAACAGAGGAAGAGAGCCTTAGATGTGGTCCATGCGGGACAGGAATATGTGGAGCATAACGTGAGTGTTAAACACTTATCCTCACCGTTCAAACATTCAGGGCATTATTGCCTCCATGTTACTCAGATCTCCTGAGCTGTATTTGTCTTAACATTTTATATTCTGCCAACAGGTAAAGGAGAAAAAGAAACAGTTGAAGAAGGATGGGAAGTCATTGGATGTGGAGGAGGATGACCCTGACATGGTAAGTCAACATACTGGGACATTAGTGTTGAATATAAATTGTGAAGTGAAAGTGAAGGAAATTTAATTTTTTTTAAATAATGTCTATTGGACATAATTTCAGTCAAGATAGTAATTGGTTTTATTGGACCTGCAATTGGTTATGGCGGTCAAACTATTAAAGCATCGCGTATTTTTATCAGTGGATTATTTTAGACTAATAGGATTTTCACAATGGTAATATAGCAAATATTTGTCATGCTACTAAATAAGGGTTTTATAAGACTTAACTTGTCCTTTTCCAGTTTAAGCAGGCTGTGTACAAACAGACCATGAAGCTGTTCGCAGAGCTTGAAATCAAGAGGAAGGAAAGGGAAGCAAAGGACATGCACGAAAGGTAAATGACACACGCAGTATGTTTACAACCGTTTTTTTATCCTTTAGGATTTAATCTGTCTGAATCATGTAAATTATGACTCTAATATCTGATCAAAATGTCGTCACAGATTTCACTATTGAAACAGAAAAGCACGTCATTCAGAACGTCATGAGTTGTTGTTGTTTTTTTAACCCTTACAGCTGTGGTCAGAAGCATTATGTTTTCAGTTTGTGCGTATGTAGAATTCGTGCGAACCAGATACCTCTGGCCTGGAGGCAATTTCTTAAAATTTGGCACAAACATCCACTTGGACTCGAGAATAAATTGATTCGATTATTGGGTCAAAGGTCACTGTGACGTCATGAAACACGTTTTTGGCCATAATTCAACAATTTAACACAAACGTCTCGTTAAGGGGTAAATGATGAAGTAATGGCATTTTAGACAGACATTCATTTAAACTGCTACTTAACTGGTTGGTGCTGGCGGAAACTCTGGTTTATTCTATTTTTTTCTCTTAATTTACCAGGAAAAGGGCGAGAGAGGAAGAAATCGAGACGGCAGAGAAAGCAAAGCGGGACAGAGAATGGCAGAAAAACTTTGAGGTGCGTTCTTGTAACTGTGGCTACGTTTAAAGTGAAACATGATTGCTTTTGGCATTCCTTAAATGACCATTTTTTGGCAACACATTTTGTCAGGAAACGAGAGATGGGCGTGTGGACAGTTGGAGGAGCTTCCAGGCCAAAGGCAAAAAGAGCAAGGAAAAAAAGAACAGGTCCTTCCTCAAGCCCCCGAAAGTCAAGATGGAACAGCGGGAATGATGCCGTAAAATGGGACTTTTAGATTAAACCCACTGTTATGAAAAACCCCAGTTCTGTGTCCTCATCTCGTCGTCTGCAGTCCACTGTGAAGTCGTCATCACAGTCATTGGGATACTTGTCGTGCGAAAACTTCCTCATCCTGACAAACGTAGTTTTGTACTTGGTTTTTCTAATGTACATATTTGTGATCGGGACCCAGAGATCACACCTGCCTCATGTAAGAAAGAGAAATTATGGATCTTCCTCTTCCATAACTGATGAGAAAAATGTGGTTTGTTTTTGTTTATTTTTTTTAACTAAATAAAGCTTGGTGTTAAAAAGCCTACGTTACACTGGTCTTCAAAGCTGATTCTAACGTGTGTAGGAGTCAAACAGGTAAGTATGACTAGATTTGGGAGATGATGTCTAAAGGTATGAGGCATTCATTTTGAGAATCTGGTTGTAATTACAGATACTACCAAGCAGATGCAACACTGACCGGTTTTACACGCACCACCTATGCTGTCAGATCGGAGCAGAATAGGAAGATATTTCTGGACCGTCCTGCAGTTCACAGAAATATAAGTCAACAGTATAAATGCAGGTTTTGCATTCTGTGTCCTAGTTCTGCATGTCTTGAATGTATTCATTTAAATACTGTCAATGAAAACATCCGACTGGTGTTTGTTGCACAGAGCTTCCTATTTATGTTGAATAAAATCCAATTACCTGTTAAGTTTCTGCTTTGGATTTCAAATAAAACATAATGAAAGCAGCTCAGTGAGAACACTGGATCAATAAAACTCAAGGCCAACATGTCCCATTTGCTTAATTGTATGTATTCATTTTTACAAAGACTAATACAGAGTGCAATGCAAAACAACCAAGGGATCAAGAACAAAAAGCAATATTGTCTTTACTAAAAAAAAGAAATGAAGACAGGTAGACAGATCCCCTTTGTCTTGGGTTACAGGTTTATTTTCAACTCAAAACACCTTCCTTCCATGAGCCCTTTGTCCTTCAAATCTCTTGAGCATTCGGATCATTTGAACAGTCTGTCCTTAAATGTTCCTCACATAACATTGCACTGATCTCCACTAACAGCAGGCATCGAGGCAGCGGGAGACCCACTGCCGTTTCCCAGCAGTCCATCCAGACTGAGGCCTTGGAAGGCTCCGAAGAAGGACTCGTCCTTCACTGGGGCTGGTTTTCTGGCAGTGGTGGTCTGCTGCACGTGGAAGAGAAGGTAATGAATGTAAAGATTTTATATACTGACAACCAAATGTCTTTGATGTTATTGTTCCCTTACCCTTGGGAGACAGTGGTGGCTCCTGAAGTGAGTTTTTCTAACTGTCCTCTCTGCGTTCTTCTTGGCCAGTATGGCTTGCTGACGTTTCCTTTGGCAAACGGCACAGAGCAACGTTAAGAACAGCACATGGGCAAGCAGCTTATTCATGCAAGTTACAGCCTTATCCTCATTAATCCAAATGTGTCCTCGCCAAGAGTCTCAGCTGGATAACAAGACAGTAACTGAATTTCTTAATGAGTTGTCACACTGTCAGAAAAGTATTAAAACCCATTCTTTAACAATTAGCACAAAAATGGATAAATCACTGGATGACAAAATATCAGTTTGAGACTAGAATGCCTGTTTCAAATGACTATGAATATACGTGTTATACCTTTCTCTCTTCAGGTCATCCTGGTACAGTTTCAGCCAGGAGTCGGGGACTTTCTGGTTGCTGCAGGGAAGGCTTCTCCTCCGACTGACGCTCTTCCTGCGGGTGAAGCTGAGCCTGCGGACAGACTGGCTACCCTTGGCCGCTCTCTTGGTGGAGGTGGGCTTCCCTGACACACAGCTGGTGAACTGCTTCAGAGGGGCACCCAGCGACATTAGGGAATCCATTTCAAGAGTTGTCCCGTGCGGATGTTGTTTGTGTGGAGTAGCAGGTGGGGTTTCCCAGGCTTTGTGACAGCTCACGGGATTATACGCTGATGCCTTGACTCTTTCAAAGTCCAGGAATGAGGTTTTTATCTGCAACACAGAATCACCATATTTTTTCATGTTGCCTTCATTTCTTTTTTTACATGTCGAAGTAAAAGCACCTGAACGTCATATACCTCAATTTACAGTTAGCACCTTAAATCAACATAGTCTTCTACAAATCCGTCTTGTTTCTGTGCAAAAGTGCAAATGAACACAATTCACTGTACATGCCTATAATAAAACCATGGGACTCACCTGCAAGTGGTATCTCCTGTAGACACAATTAGCTGATAGTATCCATTCGTTGCATTGCTTCCAGTACTTCAGTACATGTAGGCTATACACCGCTGTCACCGACTGGTCTTATGGGGATTTGACTGATGACTCCCTGATCCTCAAACAAGATTAGCTGAAGACGTAAGAGTTTATCTCATTAACGGCTGTGCAGGAAAACAGCCACTTTGTTTAAATTAGACCATTGAAATAGCTCTCATAAACTTGTGTTTACAGTTGCAGGTTTGACTTTAAATAGGCTGGCTGGTCTTAGTTCAAACGTCACATTCTCAACTTCAGGAAAGTCTAAATTTATAGTACAGTATTAAAAAAAGGTTAAGGTTCAAACAAGTGCACTCCTTGGCGGGGAACACTAAAGCTGAACAGAAAAAGCCATAGTATCATTTGCCATAAAAAGTCATGGAGTATGTCATAGTATAGTATGTCTAAATAAGTTATAAAAAGTCACAGTATAACAGAAATAAATTGCATAGCATGTCAAAAAAAGTCTTTAAAAAGTTATAGTATACAAATTGAATAAAAAATGTGTCATAGTATAGTATTTGACATGCAATACTATAACTTATTCGACATACTATACTATGACTTTCTCCACATGCTATACTATAACTTTTTAATGACATACTTTTTATGACTTTTTCCACATGCTATACTATGACTTTTTTCCACATGCTATACTATGACTTTTTTCAACATGCTACACTATGACTTTTTCCAACATGCTACACTATGACTTTTTCCAACATGCTATACTATGACTTTTTTCAACATGCTACACTATGACTTTTTTCAACATGCTACACTATGACTTTTTCCAACATGCTATACTATGACTTTTTCAACATGCTATACTATGACTTTTTCAACATGCTATACTATGACTTTTTCCAACATGCTATACTATGACTTTTTCCAACATGCTATACTGTGACTTTTTTCAACATGCTATACTGTGACTTTTTTCAACATGCTATACTGTGACTTTTTCCAACATGCTATACTATGACTTTTTCCAACATGCTATACTATGACTTTTTCCAACATGCTATACTATGACTTTTTTCAACATGCTATACTATGACTTTTTTCCAACATGCTATACTATGACTTTTTTCCAACATGCTATACTATGACTTTTTTCCAACATGCTATACTATGACTTTTTTCAACATGCTATACTATGACTTTTTCAACATGCTATACTATGACTTTTTCAACATGCTATACTATGACTTTGTATGACTTATTTGACATGCTATACTATGACTTTTCGACATGCTGTATAGTATGTTGAAAAAAGTTTAGTTTTTTTCAATTCATAGTTTATATGTTGGAAAAAGTCATAGTATAGTATATCGAAACAATTATAGTAATGCAAGTCGAAAAGCAAAAAATAAAAAGTCAAAGTATGTGGAAAGAAGTCATAGTACAGAATGTAGATGAACGTTTAAAAAAAAGTCGTAGTATAGAATGTCGGAAAGTCTTTTTTTAAATTCTTGGTATGGTACTATATGTCATAGAACTATAAGTCGAAAAAAGTAAAAAAAACAAGTCATAGTACTTAGTTTGTCGGAAAAGAATCAGAGTATAGGAGTGTACGTAAAAAGGCATATACTATATCAAAGTATAGTATATCCAAAAAAAGACAAAAAGTCATAGTATAGTAAGTTAAAAATATTTAAAAAGCCATCGCATATGTCAAAATATTTCATAGCATAGTTAGTCAGAAATGTCATTAAAGTAAAAGTCATAGTATAGTACATTGAAAAATGTCATAAAAATGAAATAGTATACTACGTCGAAAAAAGTAATTCAAAAATTCACAATATAGTATGTCGAAGAAAAGTAATAGAAGAGTGAATTCTTTAAGTAATAGTACAGTATGTCTAAAAAAAAAGTCTAGAAAGACAGACACTGTATAGTATGTTTAAAAAAAGTCCTTAAAAAGTCATAATATAGTATTTCGAAACATTTCTAAAAAATGTATAGTGTATGTCGAAATACAGTCACAGTATAGTATGTCGAAAATGTCATGCAAATGCAGGATGTCATGACAGGACAAACAGGTCACTGTATTATGTCATTTAAAAAGTCATAGTATGTCATGTTGACAAAAAACATTAAAACTCAGTATAGTGTCACAGAAAGTCATAAAAGTTAAAGTTTAGTCTGCCAATGAAGTCATAGTATAGTATGTCAAAATAGTCAGTATGTCATAAAAAGACAGTATATAGTATGTCAAACATTTCTTTAGTACGTCATCTTGATAGTATAGTGGGCCATCAAAAGTCAACCAGTCAAACTGCAGTTTACATCCATGTCTATCCAAAAAAAGTCATTATTATATCCTGTTAGAGATTAGCGAGGAGTTGCAATTAGCACATTCATTATTTAGTTATAGCCAAAAACTTGCTCTGTGAGGTTCATCTTTGAGGCCAAGTGGATGTTTAATATTTGAAGAAACTTCCTTCAGGCGTTCCTGAGATATCACATTCACAAAATGGGATGTTATTACCGATAACCTGAAAACAGAATGACTCCAGCCAGTATGGCGTTATAAAGAAGTTATAATATAGTTTGCCACAGAAAAGTATTTAAAAAAATATCATAGTATAGTATGTCATAAAAATGTGTAGTATAGTATGTTATAAGAAAATGCAATAAAATAAGTCTGACCCAGAACACTAACCTCAAGGGGCCCAGCATTACTGTGCCAATTTAAGTACACCTTTGACCCAGTGGTGGGGGCCCTATAAAAACATGTTCAGTCTCAAGTCCTGTCCTTTGACAATATCTGTTCTTAATGCCCTACAGCCGCAGATAATAATTAGGACTGTAGAGCCCAGAATAATCCATTCATTCACAGGACAGTGGAGGGAGAAAGAATGGGGACAGTGACTGAGGCGAATAGAGAAACGGTGCTTCACCGACAGATGGGAGAGCTTACGTAACGAGGCATCGATACACCTGCTGCAGCAGATCTTCTGGGTTTTCCACTCCTGTAATGACAGGGCGACAGCTTAACTTAAGTTTTGGAAAGAGGCGAGAGAGAGATCAGTAAGCTCCCAACAGTAATTGACTAACAAGAAATGAAGTATAAGAGGAAGCATACAATACCTGTGCATGTGACCACCAAGGGGACTTGCCAACAAAATCAAAAGTAGTTTCACTAATAAAAAAACAATATTTTAAGACCCGTCAATAAGAGGGGAAAAAAATACCTTAACCTAACTGTATACTGGTCTGCACGTCTGAGCTGCTTCCAAGAAAGACAATGTAGTGCAAAATAATGTTTTTCTCAATACTACTTAAGTAATGTTCATTTTCTTCAAGCAATATATTTATCTGTATTGATTTTAAAGATCAATTAATGAGTTTACTTTGACTAGAACAATGTAGACACCACCTTCACTTGCACATTTCAGACACACCTGACTTTTGAACATCCTCCAGCAGTGGTGTTAGTCAGAGAGCTCAGAGACGGACTCGGACACAGTGATGGTATGTAAAGACAGAGCGCCTCCCTTTAGCTACCAGAGGCCTAAACCGATACTCAGAGCACCATAAAGCCTTTGGTCAGGAGGACTTAACTTTAATTCTACACAATCGTACATATATACAGTTTTATACGCTTTAATTTCATACAAAACAAAACAAGTCATGTACAGGTGGGGGTTGGGCAATATGACCTATTCTAAATCAAATAAATACCGGCAACAGGACTTGTGTGTGTGGCTCATTGGCTACAACCAGGAGTGTGCTTAACCTAAATAAGAGACTTCAGGCCCGACCAAATCACACACGGAAAAGGCAGTTTATGTTTCGTGTGTTTAAAAGTATGCAAGAACATTCCCATGACTAATGCTGAACTATTCACTGAGCAAAACATGAACGTCTCTCTCTCTCTCTCTCACACGAAACATAACTATCAATAAGACAATAGGCGTGTGTGTGCCCGTCAACATCATCTCATCGGCGAATAACAGACCCATCGACCCAAGATTATAAGGGATAATCCTTTCAGAAAAATAAACAGAAACATGAACAATGATATGCAAAGCAAGTGTTCACTTAACAAAAAAACGTAAACAAAAACCCGAGACATTCGTCTCTGCTGGGGATACTTGCAATTTCCAAGGAAATATGACATTCAATTTGAATCTGATGTTAGCATAATAGAATATCTTGCATGTCTCCATGTTTAGAATAATGCGAGTGAGGACTTGCGCTGCATACAGCTCTCTCTCTCTCCTTTTTACCCTTTCCTTTGACTTCAGAATAGGAAGACATTTCTTCTCCGAAAGTGAGTTTTGGTGTAACCGGTTTTGTAGTGCTTATTTCCTTATAAATGTGGATTCTTTTCTTTACACATGCTGATGAAAACAATAGCCGGACGGAAGGGAGAAAGGTAGTTCGGAAGTCAAAAGGAAGACAGGCGCTGCATAGAGGGCTACTTTGGGTACAAACAATCTTCCATATAATTGTCCTCTATTCAGGCTGTGACAGCTATAAAAGATTTATTCTTTTCAACTCTCCTGCAGTCTTTTGTGGGTTATTTTGGTCTCTCTGCTGCAAAAAAAACATGCCTCTTGTGGCTGCAGAGGTGGACGTCAGAGGAGCGAGAAGTTAAGGTGTCCATGCTTTAATGACATACAACAGAAAACACCAGAAGCTCCGTATAATTTAATAGTTCACCCGCTCCATATAGAAAAGACTTGATCTCTCCTGTCATTCAGTCTTTGGAGGCTCATGGGTCACCGGCTGATGTCCCGGTTGCCCTCCCAGTTTTTGCCGCTTCCTGCCTCGCTAATCGCTCCGTTCTCAAAGAAAGGGTGTTTGAGCGAGTCGGCCAGCGCCAGCCTCTTGGAGGGCTCGTACTCCAACATGCTTTCAATGAGGTCGAACAGCTGGTGGTGCTCCTCCACCTCCGACAGCAAGTACCGCTGATGGCGGGAAGAAGGAATGGTAACAAGAAACAGAGTAAGAGGAACACTGAGAAACTCTCATGAGAAGAACTGCAGTACAACATTTAAAAAAAGATTTTGTTCCTACAGTACAAAGCACCATTTTCATGTTTCAGTCCCGCTAAACATATTTCATCCTTTTCCCCTCCACATCCACCCCTCTTACCCGTAAGGGTTTGCAGTTCTCTCTGACGTATTTCCCTGCTGAGGAGCTCTCGTCCCAGTCCAGACGGCCACGATAGAAATACTTCTGCTTTCTGAGAAGGTTCGGAGTTCAGTGAGCATGTTGTTTTGTATTTAAAGAAAGTTGTATTAATGTGTGTTA